AAGTTATTTCATTTTTATCTTCATATTTAATGTGTCAAACTAGCAATTTCGAATACATTTAATAAGGTTTCATTTGGTAATTAAATATATTAATAACCGGTGTTTCCATTGGTATGATAGGGTTAGGGTGACGGCCATGGTACGATAGTGGTGACGGCGGTGGAAATCGGCGCTGGTGGTGGGGGTGGTGGCTGGGTTAGGATTTTCGGGTTTTTTTTTTTTTAATCCAGTAATTGATTGACACGTACACACTGTGGGGTCCACTAAACGTTTTTTTTGGCAAAGTTAAGTGGTGGTGAAACCAATTTTTGAGGTTTTTTTTTTTTTTTTTTGTAGTGTTATAATAAAAATTTTGTTTTGTGTGGTGTTATAATCAAAAATCATGACAATTTTGTGGTGTTATTTTTTAAAAAATCCATTAATTAATGGAAAATTTGATTCTAATAATCCAACCTATTGCCTGTCTTGGATTATTAATCACACATTTCGATTATACGTGATTAATCCCACCTTGTACCCCTATCTTTTTTTTATTCGTACCAAGTGACCGGGAACCGGTTCATTGGGTAATTTTTCTTTTCAATTTTTTTCCAAATTTATAGCTAATAAAAGAAAAAAGAAAATAATAAAAATAATAAAAACAAACCCCCTACCCCTCCCCCACTCCCTTCCTTTTCCACTCCACCTTCTTCTTCCCTCCACCTCCATGGTTAAGGAGCTCCATAACCGACCACCAAACCCTCGACCCCCTAAAATCAACCACCATGAACTCGCAACCCTAAATTTCTGACCACCACCTCCCTTCCAATTTTGGGCACCCTAACCCCTCCCCTCCAATTTCCGACCACCTTAACCCCCTCCCCTCCAGTTTTCGACCACCCTAACACCCTTCAAATTGTGGCGGTTTTAAGGGGGTGCTAAATTGTAAATCACGACGGGAAAGGGAAGAAGAAGACAAAAGAGGGTGGGTAAGATGGCGGAAGTTATGGAGGAGAAGGAAAGAGAAAAGAAGGAGAAAGAAAGAAAAAAAAATAAAATAAAACAAAATTGGGTTGCTGCTGGAATTTATGGAGGAGAAGGGAAGGAGGAGGAAAGAAAGAGAAAGGAAGGGGGAGGCCGGAAGGAAGAAGGAGAACGAAAAGAAAAAAAATAGCATAAGGGGAGCTGCTAGAAATTATGGAGGAGAAGGAAAGAGAAAGGAAGGAGGAAGGAGGAGGAAGGAAGAAGGAGAAAGAAAAGAAGAAAAAAAATGGACCAATCACAACGTGACATATGTACAGGTGACCTGTTGCAGTGGGTAGATGACCACTTGGTACGGATAAAAAAAGATAGGGATACGAGGTGGGATTAATAATCCAAGAAAGACAAAAAGTTAAATTATTAGAATCAAATTTTCCTTAATTAATTAATCCTAAAATTCCTGACTTTATCTTTCTCTTCTTAAACCCTATTACGTTACACTCACTTGAACACTTTTCAGTCTAGATCTCACTCCACTCTCCACCATTTTGGCTCCTTTCACATTTCCCAACTTCATATCACCAACAATGCCGACTCGACTCATCCTCACCCTCTTCCTCTCCTCCCTCCTCATCCTCTCTCTTTCCTCCCTAACGACCGTCGTAACCGATTCCGACGACCTCGACGTAGACCTTAGCTTCCTCGACCCTGACGACGACACCGACACCCATATCTCCTCCCACCAACCCCACGATCACTACCACACAGATGAATTCAACGAAGACTTGAAAATCAATGTTTAAATAACCAAACTTTTTGAAACCAGAGATCAAAAGGCAGTAGAGTTAGGACAATCACTAAATAAATACTACCTCCGTTAAATGTTATGTGAAACTTTGGGGTATTATTTGTGAGATATAAAATATTTCAAAGTTGCACATAACATTTAACGGAGGTAGTAAATAGAGTCCTTTAAGGCAAACTTACATCTCATACATACATATAGGATCAAAAAAAGATATTTTTTTTAAGAGTAGTTCCAAGTAGAGCTAGCAATCATGATCCGACCCAAATGACCCAACTCGTGACCCAAAATTGACCAGAAACGTAGACCTGAAGTTGACCCGAACACAAAGATGACCCAACCTGACCCGATACCCGGATTGACCTGACCCGAATAAACCCGGCCCGAAGTTGACCCAATACCCGAATTGACCCGACCCAAAATTGACCCGATACCCGAAGTGACTCGACCCGATTTTGACCCGAACGGACCCAAAACGCAAAGCGACCCGAACTATACCCGAAATGACTTGGTCTTAAATTAATAAATACTAAAAATGACCTAACCGATTTTGGACTTAATTGCTTTACAAAAATAACACTTATTGAAATCAATCAATCAATAACAATATACTAAAAGACACACCAGCAATGACACGTGTCATTTTCTGGTGTGTCCTTAGTATATTTTTTTTAAAAAAAATAAAAGTATTTAAAAATTGACAAAAATTATACGCAAAACATTTACTTCCAAAAATCGTATAATAATATATTTATTAACTTAAATATCTAACCATATCTTTGCATAAATAAATTCCTATATTAGTGATTACTTTTTTTTTTTTATAAAGGTTGAAAAACTGTGCATGTCACGGGATCTAACCTAGTTAACCTAAATTAAAGAGTTCATAATTCAAAATGTGCGTGTAATTAGTATTCGTAATTTATAAAGAGTTCCATTTAATTAAGAACACTAGTTATTATTGAATTTTTTTTCCACAATTCACTTTATCTAATTTGAATTTTGACTAATTGAATGATAGTGCTCATACATATGAAATTTCGAATCATACATATACACGGAGTATTTTTTTAGGAAAAAAAAAATATCCTATGTCCACACGCAAAATCGAACTACGGACCTTCAGTTTTCAAGAATGACGGTCTTCCACTAAGCTATTAGGACTTCGGTGTTAAATTTCTTCGTATAAATATATATCATAAAGTCCGTTTGTTTTAGTTCTTAATAAACGCAAATTAACTGAGAATCCAAAATACAGATCAACGGACAACGGATTTTTTTTTTAATAGCAAAAATATTTCATTAATTAAAAGTCATACGACATTTACAATAGAGATTCGACGTTAACAAATACATAAGATATTGAATCAAATAGAATTTTCCTTCATAAAAACTACGATCGTCGAGTAGATCTTGCACTGCGGAGCATCTCCCGCTTATATCGCTGAAAATTACAGCCTTGTTTGAGAGACAATCTAACGATCCTTTGTAGCCGTGAGGATGATTTCCTTCTGATTCATCTGTTCGTATTCGAAAACTTGATAACTTTTTCACCAACGAAATAATTTCACGACAATCCATTAGATCTGCTACCATGGATTCAAAACTAAAAAATTTCTCTCTCGAAAAGAGGAGATAAACCTTGTCTTTCGAAGGAGGTCGAAAAACCCTTGTCTTTCGAAGGAGATCGGAAACCCTTTCTTTCGAGGGAGAAAAGTTTCTCCCAAAAGGAGGAAATATTATTATAAACCTAAAAAAAACAATAAAGAAACAAGGATTGGGGCTTTCCACCGATTAAAATCGATGGAAGCCCCTTCAAAATTCAACAATGGAGGCTAGGGTTTTGGAGAGAGAAAGGACGGATTAGAACATTAGATGTCGGTGAAACCAAAATTTCCTTTCAGTTAATCATAAATAAATAAATAAAATTAACGGATTTTTCACCAAATACCACCGAGTTAATGCGTAATTCACCATATACCACACAAAATTTTTCTAATTCACCATATACCACTGAGTTAATGTATATTAACACAGAATGCCCTTTTTGTTAACTGTCGTTAGTCTGCCGTTAACGCCGTTAGTAATTAAGGTTAATTATGCCACGTGGCTGTCACATATTGGCTCTTATTAATATTATCTAATTAATTAGTTAAATAAAGAATTAAAAAAAAAAACAGCCACCACCTCCTCACTCCACCAACCCCGACACCCCCTTCCCCCACCAGCCCAGCTCCCCCTCCCTGCCGGCGGCCTTGCCCAGCCTCCTCCCTCGCCGACGGCCTTGCCTAGCCTCCTCCCTCGCCGGCCTTCCAGAGCTCCCCCTACCCCTGCCATCTCCCCTTCCCGTCCTCCTCCCAAACCACCAACGTCTCCCAGCCAACCACCACCCTATCCTAACATCCCCTGCTTGCACGAAATATGACTAGAACCCCCAGCCACCACCCTATCCCGCCCCCACCCACGTTGGCGCCCAGCCTTTCTCTCGCCAGCGCGTCGGCCTCCCTCTCCCCCTGAACCGACAACACACAAAATCTGCAACCATACAACAACATTAATTCGACTTATCAGCATTTTTTTTCGAACAAATTTGCTTCTAATTCGACCTTCTCTCTCTTCGTCAAGATTTGATGGGTGGTTTCTTTGCCGTCAATATTCCAATTGGGATTTGCAAGAGGGAAATTGAGGATTTTTTTAGGGTTAGAGAGATCGGGAATCGGGGAAGGGGAGTCCGGCGAGGAAATCGGGAATTGGGTTACAGGTGGGGGATGATTTTCGGGGAAGGGGAGTAGGAGTGGGATGGTCGCCGGCGTAGGGGGAAGGGGTCGAGAATGTCGCCGGCGGGGGGAAGGGGCCAGGGGAGGGCAGTCGCCGACCATCTGGGAAGTGGCTGGGATCGCAATTGTTGCCGCCAGGGGTGGCGGTGGCTTGTATTGGTGGTGTTTAATTTTTATTTAATTTTTAAAATATTTATCTAAATTTAATTAATTAAATAAATAATATTAATTAGAACCAATTACAAGCTGCCACGTGGCACAATTAACGTTAATGACTAACCGAGTTAACGGAAATGACTTGTTGTGACATTTATGTTAAACTCAGTGTTATATGGTGAATTAGAAAATGTTGTGTGGTATATGGTGAATTACGCATTAACCCAGTGGTATTTGGTGAAAAATCCGTAAAATTAATTAATCCTAAAATTCCTTGACTTAATCTCTCTCTTCTTAAACTCTATTACACTCACTTCAACACTTTTCAGTTCAGATCTCACTCCACTCCCCACCATTTTCGCTCCTTTCACATTTCCCAACTTCAGATCACCAACAATGCCGACTCGACTCATCCTCACCCTCTTCTTCTCCTCCCTCCTCCTCCTCTCTCTCTCCTCTTTAACGACCGCCGTCTCGGATTCCGACGACCTCGACGAAGACCTCAGCTTCCTCGACGCCGACGACGACACCGACACCCACATCTCCTCCCACCAACCCCACGATCACGACCACGCCGATGAATCCAACGAAGAAGACGACGAAGATTTCGGCAACTTCGACGATTTCGACGAGTCACAATTCGGCGACGACTCTGACCCGTCGGAATACTCTGTTCCTGAGGTTGATGACAAAGACGTCGTCGTTTTGAAGGAGAGGAATTTCACTGATGTGATTGAAGGGAATAAGTTTGTTATGGTTGAATTCTACGCGCCTTGGTGTGGACATTGTCAGTCACTCGCGCCTGAGTATGCTGCTGCTGCTACTCAGCTTAAAGAGGAGGGTGTTAAAGATGTTGTTCTTGCTAAAGTTGATGCTACTGAAGAGAATGAACTCGCTCATCAGTTTGATGTTCAAGGGTTTCCTACTGTTTATTTCTTTGTTGATGGGGAGCATAAGCTTTATAATGGTCAGCGTACCAAGTAAGATCTATAATTTTGTTTGTTTTGATTGAATTCGATTTTTAAGTGGTGATTTTGTTTTTAATATTGTTGTCTTGATTTGATTTTGATTGATTAATTAATTGGGGGAATTTGATTTGTGCAATTATTTAATTTTTGGAATCCCATTTTAGATTTGGGAAGATTCTAATCATTGAGATTCACTAATAATTGAGTAAATATTTTAATGAAAAATATGTGATTTGGTAGTGGGAAATTGAATTTCTAATAATGTGATTTTAATTTTATAAATTGATTTGCTAATTTGGTTATTACGGATTAAGCGATTACTTATATACAAGAGGATTAATTGTTGAATAGTTGAAGTTTTTACCTTTGTATGATTGTGGAGTTATAAATTTGGGGATTTTTTGAGTTTATTATGTTGATTTTATGTTTGGGAATTGGAGGCTATTCACGTTGAATAGTTGAAGTTTGTACCTTTGTATGAATGTTAATTTCGATTTTGACGGTGTAAGAAAAAAAATATGATCAGTGAAGTTAAGGATGCAATCGTATTTGGGAGTCTCAGACTGATCTATGTAATATTTGTGTTTGGGGGTAGGGGTTAAAAGTAATCAATTCTTATTGCTAACAGCTTTATAGCTGTAATATTTGATTGTAATGTGATTGTTTTTAGTGGCTTTTTGAGATAGAATAACTTCTTCATTTAGGAATATGGTGATTGCATACAAGAGCAGCTAACAATGAAATTTTGATGTAAAAAAAGTTGAATTTAGACTTATTTATTTGCTTATATGTAGGGAAGCTATAGTGACATGGATTAAGAAGAAGACAGGGCCTAGTGTACACAACATTACGACGACAGAAGAAGCAGAAAAGATTCTAACTTCAAATGAGAAAGTTGTTTTGGCCTATCTGGACTCGTTGACGGTAATTACAAGTTATCTATTATGTAGTTGAGATGTTGAAGTATGAGGTTTTACATTTTGTGTAGTGTGTGTGACATCTTAATCTCTGTTTTACGCTTATAGGCTTTGATTGCTTCATACATTTCTGATTTATTGGTCTCTTTGGTAGCATGTTCTTTCGTTGTTGGCAATTGACAATTAAGATGATTTAGTAAACTACCCATTAAGCTTCATAATGTTCCTTAGGTCATCAAATAAAATGGACTCATGCACAAATTTATTGTGCTCTATATTATTATTTATCTATTTGGGTAACAGAATTTGGAAACAAAATGTTGGACTTTAGAACCGATTTGGATACTGGTGATGTTGGCCACTATTTGGAAACATTTATAAATTCATTTGACATTTTGACCTAGATGTTTTGAAGTAGGATGGTAGTCTGGATGCCTTATTGCCATTGATAATGAGATGGTTCTTTTGGATGTTGTTGGCAATTCCTGGATGGCTGTAACTTTCATGTGAATATACCTCTCAACCATGTTTCTTGTTAAGCTTTTCTTCCATATGCCTTCTATGTTGCCTTTTGATAAACCATGTGCAACTCTTAATTTTTTTTCTGTCAAAAGCTGTTTTGGGTAGTGCTTTGTATCCAAACTAGAATCATGCTCTCTTTATTTTTATTTGTGTGTGTTTGTGTAACTGGGATGCTTTAAGTTAGTCCTCCAATTGTAGTATCACTGTATAACCTATAAAGGATAATAAAATTAAGGGATCTTTATATCTAGCTTCTGCCTAATAAACTAGGCTGTCTCATGGTTGGAGTTTCAAGGAGTCTCATATAGCCCTACGTTCTGAATTAGTAGGAATGTTTAACTTTGCATGATAAGAATATATGATCGAAACTCCTGTAATGAAAGGAGAAGAGAAACTGTGAAGATTGTGAATATTTGAGCTGGATATTTTATCAACTTGTGTCTTGATCCTAATTATTTCGTCAAACACTGGTTGTGATTTTCCACTGAAAACTGTTTGTTTTCCTGATTGCATTCCTTTTAATTGCTCTATTTTGATGTTAATTTGTATGCAGGGTCCTGAAAGTGATGAGCTTGCTGCTGCTTCAAGAAATGAAGATGATTTGAGCTTTTATCAAACTGTGAAGCCTAATGTGGCAAAGCTATTTGAAATTGATGCTGACGCTAAACGACCTGCTTTAGTATTGCTAAAGAAGGATGTTGAAAAATTTAATCATTTTGGTGAGTGGATCATTATATCACGTGTTTTACTTGACTGATTGTTCTGCTTTAGTTCATCATTTTTCAGCTAATCCTAATTGATCTTTTGAGTGATCAGTTCAGGGTTAAATTTCTTAACAGCTTGATGTTGATTGTTGAGATTGTTGCCTTGTGCAGATGGCAAATTTGAAAAATCTGCAATTTCCGAGTTTGTCTTTGCCAATAAACTTCCCCTGGTGACAACCTTCACTAGAGAAAGTGCTTCTGTGATATTTGAAAGTCAGATCAAGAAGCAGGTGAACATCTGATTTATTTAATGTGCTAAAAACTGATGTCACCCTAATCCGATGTGGGTGTGGATTACCTCAACTACCACTGACAACATATGTTTTTTCCAGATGTTACTGTTTGCCACTTCAAATGATTCAGAGACGGTTCTTCCTGTGTTCCGGGAAGCTGCCAAATCTTTTAAAGGAAAGGTAATATGGTTTGTGCTATCTTCTTTACTGTCAGACCATGTAGATATTTGTCTTGATATTGTGTCTATTGGTACGAGATCCATTACAAACTCTGATATCTGAGGCTATAGAATCTTGTAAGCCGTATGTGATGCTTGTTCTGGCTGCAAAACTCTCTTTAAATGAGGAATGGAGTAATCCTTTTTTTTTTTTTTTTTTTTTGACATCGAGGAAGGGAGTAATCCTTATGGCCTCTATTTCATCATTCACCTTTTTCTTGGCTTCCCATCTTCGTCCATCTTATTCTTGAGTGAAACCGCACTTTTAGAGCAAATTCCCTTCTATCCTGGTTCTATATGGCTTTTGTGTGTGTCTTTCTTTCTTTTCTTTTTTTTTTTGGGGGATGGGGGGGGGGGGGGATTGCTGTTAATTATTCTTATGCGTGTCTTAAAGCGTGCTTTTTCTTGATTTTCATTCTCGTTTGTTCTCCATGGATTATCATTAGTTCATTGATCTGTTTGATTCTTCATATATTAGAAACGGAATGATATTTAATGTCTTGCTTCTGATAATGTTTGTTGATATGCAGCTTATCTTTGTTTACGTTCAACTAGACAATGAAGATACTGGCAAGCCTGTTGCTGAATTTTTTGGTGTTTCAGGAGATGAACCAAAGGTACAGCATTTGTGATTTTTCTGTTGCTTTTTATTTCATGATTCTAATGCTATTAGTTGTATTAGAAATGGGATCAGATTTGATAGCATTGAGCATCCTGCTCGTCTGTACAGGTTATTGGATACTCAGGAAATGACGATGGCAAGAAATTCTTTCTTGATGGAGAAGTAACTTTGGATAAATTGAAGGTAATTATAATTTCTTTGACTGTTAAAATAATTTCTTCAATTATATAGGTACTGCATAATGGTTGTTTCTTTCTCTTCTATAATTTCTGAATTGTAATTCTGTAATGGTGATGGTAGAACTTCCTAATGTTTCCATCATTTCATACATAGGCTTTTGCTCAAGGTTTTGTGGATGACACACTGAAGCCTTTCTACAAATCTGAACCAGTCCCTGAAACTGTGAGTCTCCATTACTTACTAATTCTCCTTGCCCTTCTTTCTCTTGGCGGTTAATTATAATCCTTTTGATCTAATTTTCATTTTTGTATGAAACAGAATGATGGTGATGTGAAGATAGTTGTTGGGAATAACTTTGACGAGATAGTTCTGGATGAGTCAAAGGATGTTCTGCTTGAGGTTTTATTCCTAATGTTAACTTGAGCTTTATGATTTTCCTTGTGGGATCAGGCTCTTACTTCAATGCTTTTTCCTTTTCAGATCTATGCTCCTTGGTGTGGTCACTGCCAATCATTAGAGCCCATATACAATAAGCTAGCTAGACATTTGCGAGGAATTGACTCTATTGTCGTTGCCAAAATGGATGGAACAACGAATGAGCACCCCAGAGCAAAGGTAGCACAGGACCCTTACCTGTTTTCAGCTTCTGCCTTTGTTCTAATAATTTTGTCAAGTTGCCTTCTTTTGTTGACATTACATCAGTTTATATTTGTAATGGCTGTGAAGACTTAGGAGTTCTGTTGTGTTGGGTAACTGCAACCCTCTTCCTGTTTTGGAACTAATCACTTGTGCTATTGCTTTGCAGTCTGATGGGTACCCGACAATCTTATTCTTTCCAGCTGGGAATAAAAGCTTTGATCCTGTATGTCTACTCCTATGAATCTTTTCACCATTTAAAGTTCACCTTCTCTATTAACTCATTTGATTGTGAGACTGTCTGCTTTTACACAAATTTTGATAGAGAAATGCATGAATTTTGTGAATGTGGCAGGTCACTGTTGATACAGATCGTACTGTTGTGGCATTTTACAAGTTCTTGAAGAAACATGCTGCAATCCCATTCAAGCTTTCAAAGCCTGCATCAACCCCAAAGACAGAGGGTTCTGATTCCAAAGATAGCGGGAGTACCAAAGAATTAAAGGACGAGTTATAAGAGCTTTGGATATACGATTTAAGTTATATTGACACAGTATTCCAGTGGATAGCATCATAGAGAGTAGTTTGAACCCTTGGAGGCAGATAGTTGAAGGTTAGCTTTAGAAAAACTTTGCATCCTTCCAATCCTCCTTGCAGCTCATCGGTATAATAGATGACATTTCATTGGAATTGTAGTTTAAGACTCAAGTTGCTAGTCCTTTTTTTATATTGGTGGGAGTATTTTTTTGTTTTCAAGTAAAATACCTATTTTGAACTTGTTTTAACATAATTGGGGGGAAAAAATAAAAGAGCTTCAGCTAATGTTAATGAGGAGTAAGCTTCACTTGATCTATAATATCAACAACAAAGCATGTCAATTTAGTGCCTAGTCACAACTGCAAGCTCATACTTGTGCTTGGTCAGCTGCTTAGTTACCAAGAATGCAAGTTAACATCCTAACTCTGTCTGTCAACACTAACAATGGGTCAATGGTGTCCAAGCTTCCTCCGTTAAAGCTTACACCGACACCACCACCTTCATAATGTCCAAGATTCCTCCATGAAATCGTTAGTGCTTAGTCACAACTGCCAGCTGTTTAGTCACCAAGAACGCAAGTTAACATGCTCACTCCGTCTGTCAACGCTAACAATGGTATCAAAGCTTCCACCATCAAAGCTTCCACCGATACCACCATCTTCATCATGTCCAAGATTCCTCCATTAAATTGTCACTGACACCATCGACACTGCTATAGACTTTGATGACTTCTTTGTCAAATTAAACAACAACTCTAGGAATTAATTGTGAAATTTAGGACATGTTCAATCTCTAAAAGTATGGGTGATCATTTCACTTTGAAATTAATATCCTAGAGAGCTTTGTCAAGGAGCTTTTTTTTTTTTTGAACAAATTTGTCAAGGAGCTTTTAGACATAATTCTCGCTGACACATAAAAATGGCTAGCATATAAAGTTAGCGGATGAGGAAGATTGATTAACAACTAGACACCGGCACCTGCCGAAGTCACAACCAACTCGTGGCTGCCAATATGGTCCAGTTCTCTTTCTGAGGTTTGGAGCATGACATGTTGTGCTTTTATCCTCCCCTTCTACTGTGGAGGAGTGCTTAGTCGGAATGATGTTTTCATGAACCGGCCTAAGCTCCTTTGGAAAGTATAATGGAAATAACTTCACAACTATTGTATGGGTCTCATTGGAAAAATCTACGTAGTATTGCAGCTGTTGAGATTCTAGCTCTTTAATAGTTTCAGATCCTATCAAGGCCAACCGATCCTTTATCCGAAGAATGATGAAGTTACACTACAAGATATTATATCAAAGAGGCGATTTAAATCGCCCTCTTAGGTTCAAATTTTGCCCTATTAGGCAAAGAGGGCATACAATTTTTTCGCCCTCTTTGTTAAATATCAAAGAAGGCAAAAATTTTCGCCCTCTTTGATCAAAATCAAATAGGGCAAAATTTTCGCCTCTTTGATTGAATCAAGCAAGACGAAATTTTTTTTTGCCCTTTGTAAATAACTTAAACAAGTCAATTCATATTGCCCTCATTGCTCAAAATTCGCCCTGTTTGATCAAATTTTAAAGGGCAAAATCAAATTCGCCCTCTTTGTTCAATTTTTTGGTTTTTTAAAAAAAAAAAAAAAATTTCTAAAAGGGATTATATTTAGAAAAAAAAGGTCTTAATAGGCATAAATTCTAATTTTATCATTATATATACAAAAGTATTAACCAAGTTTTTCTTAATAGCAAATAATTAAGCCAAAGAGTACTAAAATTTAATAATGTACATTCCCTCTATGTTCCTTCTGCAGTTCTGCTAGCAAAATTTTCTATCTTACTTCCTTCATCTTGTCTATCTTCATCCTTCTCTAGTTCTATCTATCCTGCTAGCAATCAAGATATTAAAAAGGTAAGCTGAATGTGTACATGAACAACAACTACACAATAAGATCCTATTTGGTCAGATCATAAATATAAGTGTTCTTATTCCACTACACCACTACTACTCTACATCACAAAGATACCGCAATTCAAAAAATTTGGAGAAAGGAGATCACAAAGTATAGCAGTTACTTTGTATAAGAAAAGCATGATACCTTGACTGCGCTTGAGATATATGTAACCATTCTGTCTCTTTGTTACCATTAATATTTTCAACCTCCTCAGAACATTTAAGAGATCCTTCTGAAAAACATTTTAAAGAAAATTTAGAGAGAGAAAGAAAAGATAACAACATATTCAAAAGAACTACTATTTACATACCAAATAAAGTATAAATTAAACAATGTATCTTCCAGCAATGAAACTAGACATGCAGTAAAGAATAGTGTAAAGAATAGATAGTCAGCAACATCTCAGTATATCTCTTTTGGTAGATATCATCCACATAGGCCATACTAACTCAACTAAAGAGTAAGAGAGAAAGATATCAACCAAATATCATTTTCCAAGCACAATGCAACTTGACATATTAACTCAGTATTTCTCAACTACGTAGGCCATACTAAATCAGTATTTCTCAGAGAGTGTTCTATGAACAAGCACAATGCAACTTGATATACCATAGTTGTAGACACCTAAAAATGTCTCCCCAAAACCAAACCCGATGATGAACAACCTTTCACCGCCATTATTGGTCGGGTTGAGTATTTAATCTTTGGAGTGCTTAAATCCATATTAAATCCTAATACATTTCATAAACCAACCCAATTCCTAGTCCAATTCCCCAAACCATCACTTATTTTCCTCTTTTCGTGCCTTTAAACCCAAAATAATTCATTTCGTGTCCTTTAAAATCATTCATTTCGTGTCCTTTTTATAAATTAGGGTTGCCCGGCGCAGGCGTTGCGCGCGAGGTAGTGTGGTGTTGCTATTTATTATAGCTAGATGTGTGGTTTTCTAAGGCTAATGTGTATTTTTTTTAAGTGTAATTATGAATAAATATAGATTTATGAGTGAATGTATATGTTGTTAATAAAATTAAACTAAAATAAGTGATTGTATATGATTGTGTAAGAGTTCTAACTAAGTTGGTTTACTTGAGTATTTATTTTGAAATATATATATATATAGCTAGATAATTGTTGAATTTATTGTAGTGTGCTATTGTAAAATTGTATTAAAGGCCCAATTTTTTTTTTGGCTTAAAAATGGCTTGGGCTACCATAAAGGCCCAAAATTCTAACGTGGCTTAATACCTTGGGTTTTGGCTAATGCTGATTTGTTCTTTCTTTGTTTAGTTGTTATTTGACCATGAAAGTCCTCTGCTTGTTTTATCATAAAAATGAAAATTAAAAGGTTTTCTTTTATTTGATTTTTTAAAAGAAAAATAATTGCCTTTTCCTATGTAAACACTTCTGAACCTTTCTTTTCTGTAAAATACTCCATTTATAAAAATTTTACTCCATAATTGCTACATATCTCATCCTAAAAATTCTCATATTTTTCTTAGTTGACAATTGATCATGACAGAAAATGAGAACATGTTTTCTAACCATTTTTCTATGTCTCTGAAACGTAACATGCAGTCCAAGCTGGAGCATCTTCAACTTAGAGAGGCTAATTTACAAGGCCAATTAGCAGATGCAAGAGCAATTCATTTTAAAGTGGGAAAGAGAGTTGTGAAGATAGAAAAGGAGTTGGCTGAAGTGTCTATTGAAATTGAAGCAATGCAAAGCTGTTATGAAGGGAAAAAATCTAAGAAGAATAATGAAGATGTCCCCGATGGTAGTGTAGCCAAGATATCTGATGCTGCTAAGGATCATGTGGCACTTAAGCATAGTGAGGATGCTGAGAAGATTGAAAGTGAAGAGGGCAAAGATAATGTGATCTCAGATAAGACCTACTGGTTTTAGTGATAGGTTAAGGTGCTTTAAATGGTTAGGGTGCTAGCTAACAGTAGGTAAATGGCTACATTTATTGTAATGTTAAATCTCTCAAACATATGGAATGCAAATTTATTTTTATGCAATTAGTTTACTATTTTAGTAATAAATTTACCTGGCCTTTAATTTGATTTTAAATGGGAAAAAAGGCTTTAAAGAACAAGGCTTGATTTAAGAAAGGCTTACTCTTGTTTTTTGACATTAATGTGTAGCATATCTGGCACAATGTTAAACATATTTCTCATGTCAACTGCCACTTCATGCACATCAGATTGCATAAATATCAGTTTTGGATTGAATCATGATAATCAGAATCCAATCGGTTGACTAAAGCTGGGCTGTGATATGAATATCAAGCTAAGAAATTATCATTGAAAGAGACTTGCAAAGCACAGCTACCAGATTGGCTTTGAAAGAAGCAGCTGGTAATTATCTGTTGAAGGGTCAATCTGCACTAAAAAGTATCCTAATTTGTGATTTGTAGTTATAGTACATTAGCTAACCATAGAACTCTTTGATAGACATGCTTAATTGATTGTGGTTTGTGTGGATTTAAGTAAAAGATACAACACTGATTTGCTAGTTATTTGATTGTTGTTTCCATGACATTCAGACCACAGAACACTTTGAAATGCAGGCCTCCATATTACAATGTTCAAATTATAAACTTAACAGTGTTAATTATAGAATATAAACAGAGTAAATTATATAAAATTAATTTTAATTATATATAATAAGAGCAACACCATACATGTATTTCCTAAAGCTGCCATTCATTCACACAATATTACTTAATGGTAGACAACACATTAAAATTAGCTCTAGTGCCATATATTGACACAATACAACTTACTGCTAGATAGTACATTATAAGTAGTTATAGTTTTGCTTGACATCATTTAATAGTTTTTAAATTGTCATAGCTTAGAGGGTTGTCTTGGCTGCATGATCTTCTAGTAGTAAGACTCACTGCTGTTTGAATCATTGCTGCTATCTGAGTACTCTTGTTCTTGTCCAGATGATGTATTGGAGGTGTCTTCATTGGAAGATGCACTATCATCATCAGCATTGAAGTCTGGGTCATTGCTATGGTTGGTACCCTTGGAGTCAAAACTGAGTTGTTGGAAGTCATTGTTGTAGGAATAGCTTACTGTTTGCTCCTGGTCCGAGTCTGATCCGAGAATAAAACGACGCTTCTTTGGTGGCATTTGCCTTTGTTCTGGCATAGAAATATCCTTTGAAGTGGTTGCTTGAAGGTGCTGCAATTTGTGCTCTAGCTCTTCTACTTGTCTTGCAAGTGCATCAATTCTTTTTTCCATTGATTTTAATGTTAGCTTTCCTGATGAGTTTGATTTTGGGTCAACAGGAAGCTTTCCCTTACCATTATCTGCCATTTTTGTATTTGTAATTTGTTATGAGAATAGAGATTGTTATATGAGGGATTAGTAGTGAAGTGATGGTACTTATAGAAGCA